TGCTGATTGCAATCGTGCCATGGCTGGAGTGATTGTGTCTGATCATGCATGTCAGTCTCTGTGCGACTAGCATGTCATGTGCGGTCATGTATGGTTTCATATTTCAGGTCGTTTTGCTTTCCCTGACGGAGAACACCGCCTTGCAGCCGAAGTTTCAGCTCGTGGAGTACTTCGCCGGTGATGGAGCTGTCTCAAAAGTCTTCCAGGAAGCTGGCAAGGCAACCTTCAAGTTCGATGTAAAGTATTCAGCCAGGGGCATGAACATGCTGGGGCATGGTGGCTTTGCGACGCTAGATTACATGGTATATGTTCCCCTGCTTGAAGTGCAGAGTGCATGTGTGTGAGCAAGAAGTTTCGATCTCTTGCCTGCTGAGGTCTGCCATTTGTGCTGCTCTCTCTTCCATGCCTGGGGCCCTTCACCTCTATGCACCCACATGTTCTTCATGGACCCAGATCTCTGCTGGCACGCACGAACGTACTGCCCTCAACATGTTCGGGAACACATCTCATGAATTTGTCAGAGATGGAACTATGATGGTTTCAAGGTTGCTTCTCTCAACTTAAGCACAAATGTTGAGAAACATGAGAATCCGTGTCATGGCTTTGCATGTCAGCAAGACGGTAACCAAGGGTCTCCGCCTTGCTGTTGATTTCCTTCATCGTCCACGCGATCACCCTCATAGAACAGCCTCAAGGTTCATTGGACACTTTCAGTCGCCACCCTCGCTTCGAATGGGTTTGCAACCGAGTGGCTTATGCCCCTCGGCACATGATTATGACTCGCAGGAATGATACCTAGAACGGTGCTGTTGATGATGACTACGGGTGATGTCGATGACAACACAACTTGGACAATTTTACTGCTTACTGCTTTGGCTGCTGCTGGTACGATGCTCAGGGGCCCTTTTTATGCTTAGGGGCTTAAGGTCTAGGGGTCTCTTTCAGTGTGCTCGAGGGTTATGTTGGGATCCTCGAAGGGTTTTCTTCCAGGCTCCTTTAAGGGTTACTTTGAGGTCCTTTAAGGTTTACTTTAGGAACCTTTAGGTGTAGTGTTAAGGGTCCTTTAGGGGTTGTTGTATCGGTTATATACATATATATATATATTACATATATATATGTATATATA